ATGTCTCATAGAACATTTGGTTATGTGCATGTGCAAGATAATTTGTAATCGAAACGAAAGTGCAACGATTCATTCAACTTTACGCTCTCATCAATAGACAATGAATCATATTCTGATGTGGATAATTGTCATTTGATTGCGATCATTGTCTCATATGTGACATGAAAGAGTTTCGTCGTTATTGTTCTAATTTATCTTTTTGTTGTGCTTCTGGGAGTTATTTTGTATTTTTTTTCATCGATCAGCGTTCGCTAGATAGACGAGATATATTTGGTTACAGTTAGTCGTTTCCTTTTTAATGAATCTATCTTTTTCATGATCATTATGGTATTAATATCTGTTATTTATGATTGTAAACTGCTATATTAAGCGAGTTTGAGGTGGAGTGTGTGTGTGTATGTGTATGTATGTAATTTTGTGTTTGGCATCGTAATCTCATGCATGCATGCATGCATGCGTACAGTTATATTTGAACGGTAATCTCATAAGAAGAAAAGACTGAAAATGTGATCGATTCAATTGTCGATGAGATTTGATTTTTCCTATTCAGTTTTTCTTATTATTATCCATTTGTTGACTTGTTTCTCTCATTTATTTTTCTTGCAATTCATTTGTCTCGTATTTTGGACGAAATTTTGAATTCATTTTTGAAAATTTCACTATTGTTTTTACAATTGGTATTATTGCTGATGTGGCCGAAATTGTTGATTTGTCATCGTTTGAACGGTAATATTTCTCGATTATTATTATTNTTTTTTTGGTTACAATAATAATGGGAGTGTGGTCGTGATAATTGCCATATGTTATCATCTCTGCTAAAATTTTTGAGTATTTGTATTGTTATCAGTTATTGATAATTTGAAGTACACACACCACTTGTCTCATATACATATGAATGGTAATCGATGTGATCGAAAGTGATCGAAGAGAAAGCATTCTCAATAAAATAACTTCGATGGAATTTATCGTAATTTATATCGAGTGATATTCGATGATTCGCGTACTGCGGTTAAATAAACAGCCATTCCCTTGAAGCTGGGAAAATATCTTTTCATTTCAGCTTTATCTATTGGTGAACTGTGATCGCTTTGTACAAATAAACTATCGCATTCAGCATTGCCATGTCATTTAGTTAGTTTATCGATAAATTATACAGTTTATTTGAGTTATTTAGATGTTGCGATAGTATTGCTTTTGTGAGGATCATTTTTATCTAAATTGTTGATAGCATTTAGGGGGTAATAGCAATCTATCGTATCGAT